TCTGTTTATTTTTTGTCGCTGCTTCTACTGTTTTGCATCTATTTTGCAGTGGGTTGCTGGTGTAACTGTTTCTTTCACTCCTACTAGTGTGATGGCTGAAAAACAATGAAGGAAGACAGTTCTGATCTAATCGCAAAGTATTGAGAAGGAAGACCATTTGACTAATGACCCCCCAAAAGATAATACAAGACAAGCTTAGACAATGGATACCCCGTGACTATTAAAAACTCGATTGAGAGTGAGATAATTAGTACCATTAATCACTATGAATATGTTAAGGAGCTTATAGACCATAAGATTATTTGAAGTTTTGGTATTCACTATCAATTTGTTGTCATTCATAGGATCACCTCTCTTAATGTATACCTATAGTAAGAAAAAACATGATAAGAAAAAATCCGATTTATGTTTGACTGCACATATTTCAATTGTTGCCAATAAAATACCCCAAGATTTACCGTAGTAGGTGCTATGTCATAGGTTATAAACGGCTATAATAATCAATTTTACTGGTATTTCTCGAGTCAATAGCCAATGCACATATTCTAAACAAATATGCACATGCAAGTGGCTGAAATTTGGAAGAGAACTCACATGAATTCAACTTTGAACTTGGGCAAAGGTCCTCAAGAAGGTTTCCAGTTAAATACCTGCATAAATATAGTAACACAAATCAATTCATAACTCATTAATTATTGATGACTCATCAAAAAGGTAATCTCAATGTCAATAATTTCACTGTTCTCATCTTTTGCAAGAAAGAATTCAATAAATTCATATTGTCCCTCGCATCCTTCTACCAACTTAGTTTGACAGTATGGATGTTTTGGTTTAACTCACAGATGTTGGAAAAGATCAAGGATATTGGCGCTTTTAACCATCAAGAACCTTAAATTACAAGTTTTGCAAAGAAATTTTCTTAAACAATATGTGGGGTCCACATGTTGCATGGACTTTGAAGTGAGCCACACTATTTATGGATATTGGCACCTACTGTGACGTCTTATTATCATAAAACTCCCATTATGGTAATGTATAGGATGTTTATTTTCTTTTTATTATCAATATGGCATCTGCATTGTCTATGGATTTGACTGATTTGACTGCATGAAGCAATACCAACCATTGAACAAATACAACAACGAATGCGATTGCCTCCTTTATTTTTTTACTTCTACTCTAGCCAAGACACGTCATCCCCATGTTCTCATTCCCACTCGTCAACCCAAGGTCTCAAGGGCGAAGGAAGCAGTGGCGCGGCATTGACAACAGAAATCAGGCTCAAGATAGGATAAAGAAGCATTTTTTTCTCCATGTCATGGAGAAGTTTCTGGAAATTTCAGACAAAAAGAATGCCTTCTATTTGTTCACATCAGAAAGAAGATTTTTGATTCGTATGACTTGGGATCTAAAATAGTAGTTATATGTTTCTGTCTGGTTGACATTATCTTATACTCTTTATTTTACTCAAAATTTCACTTGGTCCTCCATTCTTTTTCCCACCATAGCCTTGTCTTCCTCTTTTATTTTGAATTGTCTGCAATGAATCCTAATAGTGCATATTTTACAATTAAATAGGTGTAGATTTTGGGATATAATTGATCAAATTTATAAATATTTTATAACTATTTAATTTATTTTATACACTTTCCTCCCTAAATTTAATTGTTAGGCAAAAATTGAACTTGGAAAAATATCTGCTCATATTTTCTCTTCTTTTTTTTTTGTACAGGAAAAATAATAAAAGAAGCAGGAAAAAAAGGAAAGAGGATAGATAAAAAGGCATGGACTCCACCTGCATTAAAGTAGGAAAAGAAGCAGTTTGGTACGTGCAATTTACACACAATAGAAGCTACAGACAAGGGCGGATGCGGAAAACTAGCATCAAATGAATGTATATATGTTAGCGAGTCCCACATCAACAAGGGGAAACAGAGGAGCTTCAGTTTTAATTCTAAACAGTTCGATTAGAAAGAGAGAGAGAGGAGGCATCAAATCACTATTCTAAGTACCTTAAAATTCTCTCCAAGATATTTGGAGCCTATAGAAGCACTTTGCACTGCAAAGAGCAAGCTTATTAGGGAGTTTTGAAATTGATTTTTGTTCTCTTTCTTTCCTTCCTCTTTAATTTTTTGTGATTGTCTACCATGAATTAAGGAGTTTAGAAAGATGTTATTTATCAATTTTATTAGTTGTTTCTGCATTCCCTAGTTAAGGGTAAGGATGTAGCCCAACTAGGGAACTAGTCTGTTCTTTTGAGTGTGACGCTATGGATTTTGATTTATGAATATATTTTAATCTTTCTAAGTATATCTATTTATCTTGTTCTTTATGCTGAGTTTTTTGAGTGGTCACTATTAAATCAAATCTATGGATGATCTGGATGACTTGGGAGGCGAAAAGAGAACCTAAATTTAGAGAGTCAGACACAAATATTATAGTTCTAGAGATTTGTGATGACTTAAAACTATTGTTTCATGATTTAATTAGCTGTTCTGGTATCATGGGAATGGATTCAACTCAAATTGAGTACAAAATAGTAATTTGAGAAAATATTATGACACTGTACAAATAATTGTCACTATAGTGTAATTGCTCAAGAGTCAACTCAAAAAATGGAAACTAGAAACCTATAGGGTGAATCATGAATCCCAACACTTCAAACAATTGTGTTCCTCTCAAATTAAATCATGATTGCTATTTTTATTTCTAGATTTTCTACATATTCTCTTCAAAAAATTTATTTTCTCTTGTTTTCTTAATTATTAACTATCTGAAGTTAGATGTTTTTTAAGGGAATATAGATGTTTTTATGCCAAGTTCCTGTATCAAAAAAAAAAGGAAGTCACTTTTCAGGCAAACACAACGAACTACCATCAGCAGCCATCTCACAATTGTAGACAATCCGCATCCAGTTATTTGTATGGGATGATACTCCTTGGTTTATTACGAAATTTGAGTGTTTAAGATTCATGTACCAATTTTCTCTATCAGTATGCAAGAGGTTAGTGTCCACTCGAAGGATTGAAATCGGATTAGCAGCAACAAAAAACTTCAAGTCAGACCTTGATTTTAAGTTATAGGTGTGAGGACAAATTGTTAGTATTCACTACTCCAAACAGGCAGATTACTGACTGACACTTTTCAAGTCCATGTACTTCATTCATTTCATTATTTACTAATTTTAGATAGTTTCCGAAGGTTCCAGGCAGTGGAACCAGGAGGGGTCAGTAATATATGACGCCCGGTTCCCTGTAAATGTCTGCTCTCACTTTGCAGTGTGTGCGCATGTGGGTAGAACATCATATAACAAATTTCTTACATGTACTCCAATTTTGTCAGGTGAGCAAACTCATCTGGAATTTTTCCTTGCAATTTGTTAAAGCTCAGGTCTCTGAAAACAAATTTTCATCCAAAAATTAGGTAAGAAAAAGACAGCATATAAGCATTTCGCTCATAAATTAGATGGACACAAAAGTATATTGACACTATATCCAGCATAAATGAGTACAGAATGCAAGAAATTTGGAGCTAAGAAGAATTAAAAAAAAAAGCAAAATAAAACAAAACAAGAAATATCCTGATAAGCAGCAACCTAAAAGTTGGAATAGTAGTGAATCAGCACTCACAAGGTTTTTAAATTTCCCATTCTCCAAAGATAGGTAGGTATTTGTCCATTGATATTGCAACCCCTCAATATCCTGTGAAACAATCAAACATATAAAATTTTGCAACAACTAAGGCATCAATTTATCTTCTTAACCTTCAAAAGAATTCCTTACTAAGACAATGACTCTAAGAAAAAATAATTAATATATATAATAATAAACGAAGCAGGTAACTGACAATGTTTTCAATTTTATCAAGCTACTGAGCGCAGGAAAAGTTGACTCAGGTCCATTCAAGTCACTTATCCTCCTGCATGTGAATGAAGCATGTATAAACAGAGTAATAAAACTAAAGTGCCTCAAAACACTAGTCAAGATATAAAACTTACAAGTCCTCTAAGTTTTCAGGAAATGAAATTCCAGAAATCGGTCCACTCAAACCAGTCCCATGAACCATTCTGTCAAAATGGGAATACCATTGCTTCAGATGAAGAGGCATCATATAGTCAACAATAGAAAACAAATAAAATAATTAATGGTTGCCCAAGAAACAAAATTCTTACATTTTCTCAAGACTTTTCCAGTTCTGAATAAAGTTAGGTATCTTTCCTGAGAATCCATTGTCGCCTAGTCGACTGAATCAATTGGGGTTAAGCAACAATACATTACTATTCATTCAGATCAATTAAAACATAGTTATGGGGTTTTCTTCGTAATTAGTTTGACCCTACGAGCTATTTAAGTCATTTTATTCAACTCCTTCGTAGCTGCTCATAGTACTATCATTTTAACATTCAGGAAACTGATAAGTTTAGCATTATAAACTGAAACGCTACAGGGTGGCGAACTACTCAGAGTTGAATGATACTCTTCAGACCAGATTTGGATCTTCTTAAATTTTAAGGGATTACTAGTCTCAGTTTCTTAAGAAATCAAGAGGATCCAAATTCCTTTAAACCACAAGAGGGCAAACTGGATTTGAACAAGAAAATGGAGTAATCTAAAAGTTATCCTAAATATGTACATCAACATAATAGAAGGAAAAGGCACTTCTTTTAAATAAAAGGAAACTTACATATCCGTCAAATTAGTAAGCTTTGCGAAAGTTGGAGGTATGTCTCCAGTGAAATTGTTGGAGGTAAGAACCCTAAAGCAAACAGAAATTATGAATATAATCCACGATTATGAACCAAAGATCAATCAATGAGCATTATCATTTAACCCTTCTACCGAGAAAAAATATAAGACAGAAAAAAACAAAATCCAACATGAAAAAGAAATGGTGTGAGAAATGAGTGGTAAATCAAATAAGCTGCTTACAGTCCTTCAATTTGGAGAAGATTGCCAAGCTCAGGAGGAAGATTCCCAGAAAATTGATTGAACTCGAGGACCCTATCATCAATTTCAAGCTAAAGTTCAACTAAAAGTATACGAAAAATTGAAATGAGGCTTATTCTTCAAAAATGTGGATGTCCAAAAACTCACAGACGTTGCAGAGTAGTGATCTTCGTAAGCTCCACTGGGATTTCACCCGTTAGTCGATTACCAAGAAGAGAACTAACGAACAAACAAACATAACATTCACATTTCACAAAACTAGTCACGAATAAGAGTTAAAAATATGAATAACTAAAAACAACAGAAAGCGAAAACGAAGAGAAGTGCAGAGGATACATGTGCCGAAGATTAAGGGAGGCCCAACTTAAAGGGATTGAACCGCTAAGGTAGTTGCGGCTCAGGTCGCTGTACCAAAGTGAAGGAAATGCAGAGTTAGCGCAAATGAAAACAAATTCAATCAATGTAGTTTCAAGTTTTTGTGTTACTTACATTACGGAAAGGTAAGGTAATCTGACAAGTTCTGGCGGGAGTTTGCCCCGCAGACTTTGTTTCTTCAGAGTTCTGTGTTCGATCGCCATCGAAGATTGAATCTGAATCAGAAATTATGCGCCAAATTCGGCAGTGCATCTTCTAATTTGTTCTCTCTGTTTTTACTTTTGGCCAAACTTCTAATTTGTTCTCCCAGGGGCGTGGTGTTTTACTTTTGGGTCATAGCCTCCTTTTTTGTATTTTTTGTTTTTTTTGGACTGAAGGGTCGTTGTCAGTTTCTCGCGGGGTTTCCGTGCTTTACTTTTGAATATAATGTTTGAGTTTCTCCTCGTTTTAATTTTAATTTTTCAAAATTTAAATTATAGATTTTAGTTTTTTAAGTTTTTTTCATTTAAAATATTAATCTTTACAATTTAATAAAATTTGAACTATTTTACCTCTTAAAGGACTAAAACCTATAACTTAAAACTTGAAAGATCAAAAACTAAAATGAGAACAAATTTAAAGGACAAAAAATTATAATAAACCTTTGAATTTTGATGGAAGAGTTATGTGAAAATTGCTGAAAAATCTCTATCACAAAATTTATTGCCTAAAATTGATTTAAAATTTAGATATACAATTTATATTTAACAGGTGCAATTTTGTTTTAATTATGTACAACTTATTTCAACTAAGACACAGGAGCTAGGTCCTAAGGTATGTCTGGGCATTATTAAATTTTGCAATTGGAGATTTTCCATTATTTTCCGAAGAATTAATAAGGCACTTGGGTGATGGCAAAAAAAAAAAAAGGCACTTGGGATCTACAAAATGATCTGTGAAGAAGGAATTTCTCCCACGAGGCACTTATAACATGCTACTCTGAGGATCGGAAAGAAAGTTACATTTTGTAAAGTAGATTTTTTCTATTACTGATGTTATAGTTTAGTCATATGAAAACTTTGATAAATAGGTCTATGATATACAAATATTATCTCCTATTCTTAATATATAATCGAGTTGATTAATTTGAGAAAATTAAAAAAATTAAATAAATTACTTTAAATTATTATATTTATTGTTTTTCTTTAAACTAATTTAAAGAGATTAATAAAATTAGTTAATTTAGTTATTTATAATAAATATATGTTGACTTTTCTAAATTATCCTATTTAATTAGGTACATTGAAACTACCTCTTCGTGAAAATCCCTTATAATTAATAGGGATATTTTAAAGAAAATATTATAAATTTAAGAGACAAAATGAATTAAGGTTTTATATTTAGGATCAAATCCAATCCTCCAATTAGTTCTTGTATTTAAGATTGGAGGTAGTAATACATATAAGTATTTTAAAGAGATCATGTAATATATGTTATAATTAAGTAATTTTTTAGTTTTCTCAATTTCCTCCAAAAAGTCAATTACATCGTGTAGGACAGTGACAAGTAAAACCAAATTTAAAGGGAGAATGTGAATGATTATGATGAAAATCATAAGGATGATTTTTCAGAATGACGAATATGATAAAAAAACTGAAGGAAAAAGAGAGTTGCAGATAAGAGATCTTGCCAAGATGGAGAAAGGTAGACAATAAAGACGATGGTAAAATCATAAAATTGTCTTTCGAATGAATTTCTGGATTTTAATTTAGGATAAATTAATAGAGGGTTAATATAATTTTGAGCCTCTCAAGTTTATTCTTATTTTGGTTTTGATCCTTCAAGTTTCAAATTATATGTTTTTCATTCTTCAAATTTTCTTCTATTTAAAACATTAGTCCCTATAATTTAACAAAAATTTAGATTATTTTGTCCTTGAGGTCAGGGACTAAAATTGAAACTTAAATAACTAAAATTAAAATTCATACAAAATTAATAAAATATGAAAAAAGTCACGTATCATGGTTAAGTAATTTTAAATAACTTGATACGGCTTAATTCCATTAAATTTAACGAGTAATTTAACATTGGCAAATTGAGAGTGTGATTTTAAAGTTATCCAAGGTTGAGGAGGTAACTCTCAAAATTATAAGTATTTTGGCCTTACTTAAATTTAAATTAAAAAAAAAAAAACAACAGAAAGAGAGAGAGTGGTACATGTTGACAACATGACAAAAGCCGTCACCAGGGGCAATGGTGCAATCGCAAACGACAGCGTTTTGACTTTCTGTGTCCACTGGGTACGCCGTAAACCAGTTGGTTTGATTGAAGGCAGGACCAGAAGTGTCGCATGGATCTACATCGAAGCTCCAATGTTTCTTTCCCAGCGTCTTAGCTATGTCTTTCAGAGCTTCCACTGGAAACACACACACATATATATACATGTTCACGCAAAGCAATCAAATGACGGAGAATATATACATATATAGAGAGAGAGACACACACATATGTAAACATACAGAAAGAAAGAGAGAGAGAGAGAGTAAATAATGAATCAAAGGAAGCGATAATATACTTTCAGATGGATGTATCTTGGTGGCTCCAAATGCAGAGGAAGCCCAGAAAAGAGAGATCAAGAGAAAGAGGAGGAGATAATGATGATGATGATGGGGGAAACTTATCTTCATCATGCTTCTCCTCATTTTGGTGAGAGAAGAAGCAAACTGAATTATTGAGAGAGAGAGAGATTGCTGGACATTGTAGTGTAAAGCACAGACCACATAAATAGACAACTGACCAAGAGGGGAGACCAAGTCAAGCACAGCTACTCTCCTGTACTTGGTACTATTTCGGCTTCTTAGTATAAGAGTTTATTTGATTTTTGTCTTAATTCTAAATATAAGATCTTAATTTATTTTGTTTCTCATATTTATTTATTTTTTCTAAGATAGTTCTTATAATAATCATAGTTCTAGCTAATACACTTGATTAGCAAGAATATTTTAAGAAAAATAACACGTCTTTATTACAAATAACTAATTTAATTAGTTTCTTTAATTTACTCATATTAGTCAACTAGCTCTTATATTAAGGACCAAAGGTCGTATAAGAGTTAGTTGACTAATTTGAGTAGATTAAAGAAATTTGTTAAGTTGGTTATATGTAATAAATAGAAATTGTCTTTCTTAAAATAATCTTGCTAATTATATATATTAGCTAGATCTACCATTTGATAGAATCTTTAACATATATAATTAATACAAGAATTACTTTAAAAAAGTGAATAAATGTGAGAGACAAAATAGATTAAATTTTTATATTTAGAACCAAATTAAAAGTCAAACTAACTCTTATATTCAGAAGTTATTATTTGTTTTTGAACAGTAAATAAGAACGGGGGGAAGAGCTACCAAAATATGTGAATCCTAACATTGTCCTCCGCGACGAATTAATTTCTATAAAGATCTTAGGAACTATTCTGAAATTAAGTTTTTTTGTGAAAATGGCATAATTGTCTTCAGTGAAACATAATTGTGGTGGGATGACCTAGCTGCTGGGCTGGCATTTCTCGGAAATTCAGCCTTAGCTACTTGACTACCCTAGTTTGCTGGAACTTATTAACTAGTTTAATTGCTCAGTTAAAGTTGTTATTAAATTATATTGTTGATATATACTACTTTCGGTCCTTAATATAAGACCCTGTTTGACTTTTATTTTGGTCCTAAATATAAGACCTCAATCCACTTTGTCTTTCATATTTATACATTTTTTTCTAAAGTAGTCATTCTAATAATAAGAGTTCTAGTCAATAAACTTGATTAGTAAGAATATTTTAGAAAAGACAACATCTATTTGGGACAAATAACTAACTCAACTTACTTCCTTAATCTCTTCAAATTAATCAACTAGCTCTTATAATCAGGATCGGAGGTAGTATTAAGCAAGAAATTTCACTGAAATTAACTGTCCCCCTAGGATTGCCATTTAATAAGTTAAATTAAAGTTGTTACTTATTAACATGTTGTCATATTTTTGTTCTTTAAATTAAGAGATTTAGGTAATTTTACTACAAAATTTAATCCCAAACTAGACTTTGTACGTGGTGGTTGGGCTATCTGGAAGTCTTGAATTGAGATTTGTACGTGGGTTTAGGGAGGGTTTTTGTGTCTTTCTCTCATAAAAACAAGGGACAATTACCATGAAATCTCAAGAAAGAAATACGTTATCATTTCTTACTCTAAAATTTGTTATTGTATGCTCTTCAGATTGTTAATGAATTTTAGGATAACTAATTTTTTTCCTTAAGACCTGATTATAATTCTTTCTGAAAATAGTCATGTCTTGGAGGGAGGAATAACTTAACTGTTATACATCATCATGCTATTCATATTATGACATACTTTGTATTCTAATAATTTTAATTCATTTTAATAGAAGTAATTATAAACAAATGCGAAAATGCTCATTAAAGTAGTGTTCTAAAGCTAAAAGTTTACTCAGTTACTTGTTTCTTCCGATCAAGAAAAAAAAAGTTGAATAACTTGTATCTTTACGGAAAAATAGCGTTATAATAGTGAGAGATATTAGTATTATACATGTTCTTAGGAATTATTACTTGAATATATAGTTGCCATGCGATTGAACAAAACTATTTCTAGTTTAGTTTAATTTTTTGGGTTGAGAGTCTATTAATAATATATCAAAAGCATGTTATTATATAAATATATATATGCATTAAGCAAAGATTTTTCCAAGTATTGAATTATATGAATTATTATTGATTTAGTCGAGAGGTCAGCTAGTCACTATCATAGCTACATGTGATTAAGACTAGAGTTAAACATATTGACAGATACGTGCATGACATTATTTAATTTTCCATTGACTTAATAACAATGAATTTTGATTAAAAAAAATAATAATAACGAATATTGAGAACAAGAGCAAAGCGAAGTCGAAGGAAAATTTAAGAAAAAATCTTGACTGCTTCAAACATAGGATTTATCTTTTCATATAAGCAGTATTATTAGGGTTCAAATCTTGTTGATGTAATTAAAAAATTGCTTGTCAGAACTTATAAAAAAATAAAAAACAAAATTCTTCTTCTTCTTCTTCTTTTTATTTTTATTTTTGGAGAGTCTTCACATAAGTCTTCGTCCAGGTACAAAACTGTTTAATTTCTAAATGTGAAAGGCACCATACGTCGTTCTGTGGGGTCATCGAGTCCCATACGTTCAAATGAAATTGATTGTTTTTGTTTTCTTGTTTCAGGGGATGGTGTGGTGTTTAATCAATTAGTATTTCTTTTGCATTTTTTTTTCTTGGATCTAATCATTAAATTTTATGAAATTACTAAAGATAAAAGATGGTCATAAAACAAAACATAAGCCTGTTAAATGATACAATTCACATAGAGAAAGAAAGGTTACAAAACAGTAGATAAATCTGACTAATGAAAGAAAGTAAATGCTAAAATATTATTATTTGAAATATTTCGCCAACATTATTTAACGATAACAGTATTTTCATTTGATTAACATGAACAATCCTTCCAAAAAGAATCAAGAACGGTAATAAAAATATTTTCATGCTCCTACTAAGGTTTGGCGAACAATTGGCAGATAGTTGTCTTTTAAACATATTATTTGGAATTTGATTCCCATATATGTATAAAGATGACTTTCTAGAAATTAGTTTTAAGATGTTGGGTTGGTACCCGAAAAAAAAAGAAAAATCATGTTCCTAGTGTTTGATGATGCTATTTATATTATCGATGCTATCTTCCGATCCTAAATGTAGAAGCTGGAGTTAGGGAATTAGTTTTAGTTTAAAATATATTATTTAATTTATTTTATCTTTTATATTTATTCTTTCTCCAAATTAATTTATGTAACTTATTTATTGATATATAATATAATGTTACATAAAGGTATTTTAAGAAGATCATGTTACATTCATTAAAATTAAGCAATTTATATACTCTATCCTTCCCTTATTGTAAGAAACAATATAGTTCAAAATGTTACTTAAATTTAGTTAAAATCAATAAATATGTAAGATATGTACATATTTTTCCAGTTATAACCTTATTTGTGAAGAAAATACATGAAAGATAATAAGTGGCGATTTATTACGGAGAGATAATACGTAACATATATTTAATAAAGGTAAAAGTGAAAAGACTTTAAAATGGCAAATAAAAATAATTTGTTTCTTATATTTAAGGACATCACTGTCAAAGAGAATATTTTTTCATGAATAAGAACATGAGCAAGTAACTTCATTAATCTTCTCAAATTAATTAGGTATCTCTTATATCTATGATACAAAAAATATTACCGATGTTAAGATTAAGATACTGAAAATACACTTTGTAAACTTAAAAACTAAATTGAAATTTGATGCAATAGTTTAGTTTAGCCTTTTCAATGTCATTACCACATATTTATTTAATCAATTTAATGTGTTTTTTTAAATATAAATGTAATTGATAATATATCAATTACCATTAATAACAATAGCAATCATTATTAAACTCTCTCCTGCTTATCCTCTCAATTCCCCCTCCTTTTAGTTTCAAAGTTTTTGGCCATTCAAATTCAAATTTTTAGAAACCCAGATAAGTCCTCTCGTTCAAATTTTAATATAGCTCCTCCAATATTATACATATTGTCCTTAATATAACAACTAGATAACTAATTTTTAAATATTAAAAAAATTAGTTAAGTTAAATTATTTATAACAAATAGATGATATCTTTCCTAAAATCTCCTTATTAATCATACTCATTTTTTTTTACCAAATATTAATCATGTGCATTTGAATCTTCATTTGAGAGTAACTTCTTATTACATAAAATCATCATAGGAATTACTTGAAGGCAAAATGGATAACTATTAATGATAAACTGGATTGATATTTTATATTTAGAAACAAATTAAATTTTTAACTAACTTTTATAGTAAAAACTGGAGGTAGTATTGATTTAGAGTAATTAATTAGTGCTCTTAATCAAATTTGATTCCGTTTTTAATGTCCCAAAATGCTGATAATTGTCAATTTGTCATTGAGGCATGTACATACGAACTTATTATTGATTTCAAATTTGTGATTTCTATATTAAATGCAATTTGATTCCATATCACTGAAGTATTATTTTGTTACCAAAACGGCATAACATCGTGGTTCTCCCGATATCCTGTTCCACTGTTGAATGCATATTTGAATCGATTGATATAATTATCAGAATCAGCTTACATTTAAATAAAATATACCCACACCTACGCATATACATCAACATCAGAGTCAAATATAAAAATTTCAAAAAAAAAGAGAGAGACACAGAGAGAGAGAGAGAGAGCATGCCATGTATAACAATAATAATTCTCAAAATTATTGCTATATATTTGTTTAATCAATTTGATGTGTTTTTTAAAAATTTTGAAATTTAAGAAATCAAGGATGAAGCTAGGAACCATCAAAATAAAACGGTTCTCATCCAGTGTTCATCACAGTCAAAATCAATGTGAATGGCTTAGATTAAGATGAACACACCATGTTCATCTTTTTTATGAGCATGGAATATGGTCCACAGAAATAGTAACTCCAGGACCCGAGTACATGGTTGTGATAATGA